CCTGGGGCCAGCTATTAGCAAGTCACTCAGCCACAGTTAAACAATAACCAGGATACATAAAAGCAAGATCCCAAAATAAAACGTAAAAAGTCCACTGTGAAAATTAATCTAACAGCATCTCCCATTTCTCTTTTTCAAGGAGCTACCAATTAATGGCTTGTGGGATCTAGCTGTACATAATTATAAGAATACAAGAGATAGTAGAAAACACAAACTAAATTATATTTTGCTTAACTGGATATACTGAAGTAATTTCAATTCTCCGAGGTTACCCAACTATAGCTGAACAGCAAAACTGGAAGATACGTGGGTATGTGTATAAATCTTGAAACTTGCTCCTTATCGTAGTCATTTTTTAAAAAATACCCTACACTGTATAAGCAGAATATATTTATCATTTGTAAAATACCTTTACAGATAAGATCTAACCTGATTTTCATAAACACCTCTGATACAGTCAGAGCAGGTGTCATGGCCCTTATTTAAAGATAAGGAGACAGAACCGGAGAAGCTAAGTGATTTGATCGAGGTCACACGCACAGAGCCTGTGCATATATTTGAAAATAATTCTGAGAAACACAAGGAGCAAGAGCTCTAGAAGCGTGCTACAATTCTTGAAAGAAATCTGACCAGGTAATGAGATTGTGTCTACTAGCCGCACATGAAAATCAATTCCATTGCCCAGAGAAGGACAATAAATACTGATCTTGCCGTTTTAATGCAAGAAGTCAAATACATTTTCATGGGTGTCACCAAAACACGACAGGACAGGTCTCAGTGGTGTGGCACAGATATGAAAACCGAAAACTTGTCCAAAAGAAACAGATTTCATAGAAGAAATGAGAGAAATGACGTTTGTCATGAATGCAGTGCTCTAAGGCTGAGAATTCTATGAGCCCGTTATATAAAACGGGTCCTCAGATTTTCAATTTACCAGGTAAGTAATTATTTGTAAAACATCCAGGGCAACAAAATCAGGTTGTTAACATCTAATCATTTTGATTAGAAATGTTTAAAGACTTTTATTTTAAATGGCAGTTGACTTTTATTGACCATTTGCTATATGTAAGCTTCTACTCTAGATACCTTAGACACATTAGCTCGTGAAGGCTTCATGGCCATACTACAAGATATATATTTAAAATTTTTTTTTAATGTTTATATATTTTTTGAGAGAGAGAGACTGAGCATGAGCAGGGGAAGGGCAGAGAGACAGGGATACACAGAATCAGAAACTGTCAGCACAGAGCCTGATGCGGGGCTCGAACTTACAGGCTGTGAGATCATGACCTGAGCTGAAGTCGGATGCTTAACCGACTGAGCCACCCAGGCACCCCCAAGATACATATTTTTATTATCATCCCCATTTGATGGATAAGGCAGTGAAAGTCCACAGAAGGTAAGCAGTTTTCCCACAGTCACGTGTATAGCTCCGGGCAGAGCCAGAACTCAAACCCTGGCAGCCTGGTCCCAGAGCCTCCATTTTCGACTACTATGGCTTGAGTAACTTCCAGCATTATCATTTCATAAAAAGGATATTTTAACACAAAAACCAGGTGCCGTATCTCAAAATAAGAGTCATCTCTTCAAATTTAATTTACTTAGCAGCGCTAAAAATGCAGTATTTTCCCCCTTTGAGCTTAGATTTTTGTAAATGTCATCACAGACCTCCACTAGTCTGCAGAACAGGACTTGACAAGCACGAGAAGGGAATATCTGGACACAGATAAAATAAAAGTGAAAGTCAAAGACTTTCAGGATAAAAACATACGATGGACCATCTCATTAGAAAGAGAACAATGCAAGAATCACAGAATCTTCATGTTGAAGAGATCTGCAGGGTCAACCAGTTCAATCCTTTTCTGAATACAGAAATCACCTTCTACAATGTCAGGTTCTGCTTGGAGGGATCAGCCGTTGCAAACTCACCATTCATGATTCAGTTCTTGTCAAATTTGCACAGGCCCTCTGTTCTTCTCCACCACCTTTCTAAATTCTTTCCATCATTCCTCATTGGTAGAGCAAGGTTCCAGAAACTTTCCTAACCTGGGTGCTATCCCTGGAGTACAGTCCATTTCGTGCTCTCTTGCTTAAAACTCAGGGATCAGAAATAAGTGTGATAATTACAGTGAGGCAACCTAGCACCGGTACGTTAAGATATCACCTCCTTCAACATGGGTGTTTGGCTTTCTTAATGCAACCTAAAATTATAGTAGGTTTTGTTTTGTTTTGTTTTTGGTGGGGGATAGGGCTGAGGAAATAGCATTATAGAGTGGTATGGGTCATATTATGGATTCCCACACATTTAATCCAAATCCTCAATCTCTTTTTTGTATATTCTGCTGCTAAATTTTATTACTCTAATTCTACAGTAGTACTGTTGGGATTTAAACTATACAGGATGAAATGTGCAACTATTCCTACCACACATCACCCTATCAGATTCATTCAGTGTTCGTGTTCAAGCCCGGCCACGGACATTTTCCATCTACTTGGTGGCATGCTTAAAGCCTCCCCACCCCACCCCCGCTTATAAGCTCCATGACTCGCTCCTTGGGAGCCCCAAATGCCCACAAACCATCCGAGTGACAGTCTGGGACCGTACCACACTTTTCAGTCTATAGTCTGCAGCACCTGTATCCTGCCTTGTAATTCAGTCCTGCCTTCCACAACGTCCCACTGCTTACCAGCCACAGCCACCAGCCTTTTCTTCCCATTTTCTCAAAAGCCTCAGGTCAAGAAAGGGTGAACCTGTATTTCTTCATAAAGTAAAGAGAAATTGGACTTCACTTTCCTCGCCCACCTATCATGCCTCCCCCTCTCATTTCTAGCTTTGACTCTCTGACCTAACATACTTCTATTTCCCAAGACCGACTTGTCCAACTGCAGGTCTTTCAACCATGTTCAACACCAGCACATGACATTGACAGAGTAGTTGAACCTGAGGTTGCAAACAGTAAGATGAAAAAGTATGCTTTATCATCAGGCTTCCTTGCTTAAGTGAGGTTTAAAACCTTTTAAGGCAGAGTGTTGGCATGCACATATCAATTCAAAATTGGTTTTAATCTCTTCAAAAGGACTGACAAGGTGTTCTAAAAGGCACGCCGTCTCTTTGAGAGTTATACATGTACACATCAGGCAGCAATAAAAAAAATACAAGCATTATATTCAGGGGAAATGTACAGAACAATTGTGTCAATAGCTGAAACAGGCAGAAAACCAAGAGAAAAGACAAAATCTGGAAGGAAGAACAGGACTGGAAACATTACGTAGGCGGGGTTGTCAGTGACGAGAATGGAACAGATGGTATCATCTCTCCGGTCTAGACAATGGAATTCTACCCTTTATTTTGGACAGAGAGGGAGACTATATATTGCCATGCTCAAAATAGGATTCCTTAAAATCACACTGAGGTGAAATCATACTAAACGTACTGCGAACGGAGCATACTTGGAGGGGAGCGGGTCCTTGTGGGCTCCCATTTCCCCACCCGTAAAAGGGGGTGACAGTATCTGCCCTGGAGACTTCACAAGGCAGTTATCAAATCAATAACAGATTTGAGAGCAATGCCTCTACTGCGAAATGATATAAACAGTGTTATACATGGCCACTGGTTGCCCTGCAACAGATGATAAGACAATACAAGAAATTGTTTCACAAAAAAAAGAAGGGCAGTTTTATTCAACTGAAAAGAGGAGACGCCATCATTTGGAGAAGTGAGGAAGAGAATGGGTTTTTAAACTCCTTTCTCCTTGGAGCCATCAGCCAGGGCTGTGTGAAGGGCCCGTCCAGAACTGCTGTTTACTCCAGAGACCCTGCATGGCAGGTGGCTTGAGCACCCAATGGGGGACACTCAGTTGGCTAGAACAGGCCCATCATGTATCCCCGGGGAGGGGGGGGGGGGGGGGGGGGGGGGGAAGTAGCTGTTCCCTTTTCTAATGAAATTTTAAAAAACCACAACAACAACACAAATACAGAATTCTTCCATAAAGTTTTGAACTTGTGGAAACAGTACCCACTCCACAGTATAAAGAAAAAATACTGAAACATCTACACCTGTTCAGATTTAATCATTTCTCCTACCAGCCAGGGTCAGACTGTGCTCTGAGTACCTTCAAAAGTTAAAAAAAGAAACGAAACATACTGATGTGTCTACTTAAAGAATGTTATCTGAGGACTCAATTAATTCCATAAAAATTTATTGCATTTCCTCACCACAACCCACAGTTCAATATAGGGATTCTTCATCTAAATGAGGAAAGAACACTTGAGTATCCCCATGTATTATTTCTCTCCCCTTCCCTGGCAGAAAGTAGCCACACAGAAAGCACTACACCTTCTCACGGGAGCTTTCTTCGGGTTTTGATTTTTCTAAGACTCTACATCTCTCCCTCCATCAACCCCACTTTAGTTAAGCTGCAGAATGGGCTCGGCACAGTCAATTAGAACTTTATAATCTAAACTTGAAGAGTGCACGCAGCCCACAAATCACCCTTGCTTATTTTACAAATGGGCCCCACGTCATTGGCAAGCAGCGCCTCCATTAAATATCCATCAATAAAAACACAGCTTTAAAGCTATCACTAAGATGGAATCTATTATTCCGGTGCCCCTCCAGGCTAAAAGCGCATTAACTGTAAACATAAAACAAGGGGACCAGGGTGAGAGGATGTGACCTATGAGCAGACATCATCAAAGCAGACAGTTTACGTCAACCTTAGGGAGAATGCCTATACAAACTAGATGATACTCACAGGAAGGTGTAAATAAAAAAAAAAAAAAAATAGGGAAAAGGAAAGAAAGGAGGTGAAGGCTGCCTGGAAATACCAAGCCTTGGGTCCCAAAGTCCTGTTGGGTTACTGTTCCCCGGCAAAGGGAATTATTTGTTCCTGCGGAGGATGCTGACAGAGCTGGGGAGCAGGTTAATACCTGATAAACACCGTGCTGTAGGTCAACGCCAGAAAGGCAGTAACAAGGAGTCCCAGGTCTCCCTTACTCACCAGCACACTTTGTTCTTGTCCGGAGAGCTGGCCCAGGAGACCCAGTGCCGCCCTCCCCGGGTCTGGTGAGCAGCACGCTGATCTCATACTCGGTATCCGGGTCCAGGTGCCCGATTTTGTAACTCGTGGAATCCACTGGCTGCCGGTCATTCCAGCTCCCGCTTGCCGTGCAGTATTCCACCTCTCGGGCAACAATGGGCCCGTCCCCATTGATGGAGTTGGCATTGAGTTGGATCCACAGGTAGGTTGCCCCCACGGAGGCGAGCTGGGGAGGAGCGATGGGAACAGGTGGTTCTGAAAGGCAAACCACAGAGCTATCTTTCAGACACTTGGCTCTTCAGTTTTAAAAGAGCTAAATGTGTGCGGCGCCTGGCCGGCTCAGTCGCTTGAGCCCGTGACTCTTGGTTTCGGCTCAGATCATGACCTCACCCTTTGTAAGATGGAGCCCCCGGTCGAGCTCTGCGCTGACAGCATGGAACCTGCTTGGGATTCTCTCTCTCCCTGTCCGCTGTCCCTCCCCCGCTTGCTCTCTCTCTCACTCAAAATAAATAAGCTTAAAAAAACTTTAAATAGCTAAACGTGCATCATGTATTAACATACAGAAGCCATGAATACTTCGGGAGTGAACTGATGAGAATAGTTTGGTTTAGGTTATTTTTAAGAAGTGTACTGATGCAGCTTTTCATAATGTTCAAATTTGTGAAGTAAACCATCTTTAAAACCTAAGATCGCTCAAGGAGGTATACCCCCAGGTTGTTTTAGGACACAACTCATTTCTCTCATACACCTACAAAGGTGTCAAAGGATTTTTTCCCCACTAAAAGTAACTTGCTAAAAAGCTCTCTCAGTGGTAGTACTTAAGCTCCATGAGGCACTCTACTGCCAACTTCCTTACTGAGAATGTCTTTGAAATCATCAAAGGTGCCAGTTATCTAGAATATTAAATTCAGTTTCCCTATATTTATATCCCAAAGATATCATCAGTTTGAAAACACGGCCGAAATTATAGTTTATCTCGGCATAAATGCATTTCCAGGGTGACCTGTTTCCCAAAAATCCACCACAATGGACTCATTCAGCTACACGAGGAGTAAGAAGTCTGGGCAATAAAGCCTGCCTGCCACTGCTGCTGTTCAAGGAACCTTCAGGAATGAGTCTGATTCAAGCAGAGAGTAGAAAGAAAAGCTCTAAGGCAAAGTGCAAGCTGTGCTCAGTTTGGTAAAATTCTAGGCAATCAATAGTTAATACTCTTTAAAGCCAAAAAAAAATCTCGTTCATTCTTTAAAATCAGAGATGGACTCTTTCTAGATCATTGTCTGAAAAGGGAGAAGTAGGTAATTTTTTTTTAATAGCATTCCGAGTTTATTAGTGAGGTGCTGGTTGAGTGGCTTGCCAGGCACCAAATGAAGGCATCCTGTGTGCCCAATGTCACTAGAAATGGTGCCACACATGATACTGACAAAGGAGGTAATGTACAAAATAACGTATTTCTATCTTAGTGAATCTCTATCCAAGAAGAAATGTAAGATCTAATTTTGTTTTCAAGAATGTTTCCACAGGTGGTTTGTGCCTGTGTGTGTGTGCGTGTGAGTGTGTGTATTTCAACTCCTCGTTTAGCTCATGAGTGCACAAAAAATAAAGTCTGCTATATTCCACTACTGGCTTATGCTAGCTTGCATGATGCAAATTCTGTCATCTCCAACAGCAGACACAGCCAATTGACCATGATGGTATTTCCTGCTGAAAGGGATCTCAGGGCAGCCAGGACCACCTGACCTTGGCCCTTGAGATGACACCTGGTAGATGCCTAAACTAATCTAATATAAGCAGCAACATCAGTTCTCTTTGGTGGATGGAGTATGATGAGTCATATCGGCTTTCTAAAATACCTGGGAAATCTCATTACACCGAGTCAAAATAGACACTAAAGGATGAATCGTATTTGGAGGACTATAAAATTCATGTAAACTTACTAAACTATGTTCCTATTGTTCATAAACTACAACTTTGTGCTAGCTCTTCATTTCTTTAAACAGTTCTTACTCAACTCATCGTGATTTAACATCAATTTATATCATTAGGCGATTCCTTGAACCGAGACATGAAATGGGCCTTTTATAGTATATCCTAAGGCAGTGATGTAGCCAGGCTGAAAGAGCAGTTAATTACTTTGAAGTCACAAATGCTAGCAAGGGTTGCTGAGCTGCCATTCAAACTACAACTCAGGGGCAAGGCCACGAAGGTTAGTTGAGCACACCCATTCATTTAGGATATTGTTAATAGTGTCCTAAAATAGACAAAACTTTAGTGCTTGTTCGACCTGAGAATATTTTCTCTATTAATTCCCCATGAAGAAAAGTACCAAATATGTGAAATCAAATGAAAGATTCAACTAGAACCTGCAAACAATTGCAACAGACATCCCAAAATACTTGTGGGTTTGCTGGAAGAATCAGTCCCAGAATAAGTCAATATATAAATTTTGAATACATTTTCCCAAAGGGAAGGAAGGAAGGAAAGGAGAAAGGGAGGGAGGGAGGAAGGAATTCAATCTATACCAAGTGATAAAAAGCAATTTAAAATATGTGACCAATTGACAGTGAAAATTATGATCAAAAGAGTTGAGCCTTGACGAACACAGTGTGAACTGCATAAGCCCACTTATATGCGGATTTTTTCCAGTCCTGTAAATGTATTTTCTCTTCCTTGTGATTTTCTTAATAACATTTTCTTTTCTCTAGGTTACTTTATTGTAAGAATACAGATATAATACATATATGAAATGTGTGTTAATTGACTGTTTATGTTATGGGTAAGGCTTCCAGTCAACAACAGGCTATTGGTTAAGTTTCTGGGAAGTCAAAAGTTATATGTAGATTTTCAACTATGCAGGGGTCCGTGCCTCTAACTCTTGATTGTTCAAGGGTCAACTGTAATTCCGAACCAAGCCAGCAATGAAAGAATTTATGCACATACAGATACATAAACATACAGCTAATAGATATGCATGTGAATCCCTAATATATCTCTCAGATAATTAAATAATATTGATATAGATGCATACACACAAATTATGGAGACTCTATTAAATATTTCTTTTTCATGTTCCAGATTTCAAAAGCAGTGGCAGGCATGAATAAGATAGGAAAGAAGATAAAAAATGACTTGGGTTTCATTTGGGGGGTTGGTGCCAAATCAGTGCATGATCTCAAGAAAGTTACAAACTCAAAAAAAATTAAGAGAGAGAAAGAGAGACAGAGAGAGGGAGAGAGAAGAAAAGAAAGAAAGAAAGAAAGAAAGAAAGAAAGAAAGAAAGAAAGAAAGGAAGGAAGGAAGGAAGGAAGGAAGGAAGATAGTTACGAACTCTATGGAGTTTAGTTTTTCCCATTTTTAGGAAATCACTACTCCAAATACTACAGGCATATAAAAAAGTTAAATTATATACTGGTGGCCTAAAAATGTCATTGCATTATTTCAAAGTAATTATCTCAAGTGAATACTTTATTAAGTGTAACATGCTAGTAAAATTCAGCATGTTATCTCATTAAAAAATAAAATATATGAAAAATATGGCTGTAAAATTATAAATGGAGGGGCAACTAGGTGGCTCAATTGGGTAAGCATCCAGCTCTTGACTGGTCTTGATTTCAGCTCAGGTCATGATCTCATGGTTCATGGGCCTGAGCCCTGTGTTGGGCTCTGTGCTGACAGTGCGGAGGCTGCCTAGGATTCTCTCTCTCTCTCTCTCTGCCCCTACCCCACTCATGTGCGCCTCTCTCTCTCTCTCTCTCTCTCTCAAAATAGAAAAATAAACATTTAAAAAACTACAAATGGAGGAAAAGTCAATTTCAGATTTGAGCCACAACTGCAAGCCAATAATCCCTGGCTTTGACTGTGTGCAGAGATAGAAAGAGGTGCCTGGACATTTTTATCACAATGAGCCAAGCTACCGCTCCTCGTCCTGACAGGAAAATGTGCTGCATCAATATGAATAACAACCCATTCATTTTTTGTGTTCATGTTTGCTATGGAAGACTAGAAATTTATGATTTACTTATGCCACCAAACAAATGAACTTTTCCACAGGGGCAATTTTTAGCGAGGTTACTAGATTTATGTTATACTGTTGATAAAGCAGATGCCTCAAGAACATGGCTGGTCATAGTGAAACGCTGCAGCAACTGTCAATAAGAAAACGGAACATAGTCACGAAGAGCTAAGCCCAGATGAACATTAAGTAATAATAATGATGATAAAGAGCTCAGCCATGGAACACTGAGGCTGCTGCTTTACTGGATTTGTTGGTAAATGGTGTCCATTTCTACATTGTGACTCCGCGCTTCTCAAAGAGCCTTCTACAAAGTAGGGTGTGCATTACTCTGAAGAATTTGTTTTCTTAAAGCTATTAAGCCTAAACTCAGGGTCGCCTGGGTGACTCGGTTGGTTAAATGTCTGACTTTGGCTCAGGTCACGATCTCATGGTTTGTGATTTCAAGCCCCGCATCGGGCTCTCTGTTGTCAGAGCAGAGCCTGGAGCCTGCTTTGGGTCCGGTCTTCCTCTCTCTCTGCCCTTCCCCCACTCGTGCTGTCTCTCTCTCTCTCCCTCCCCAAAATAAATAGACATTCAAATAAATAAATAAACATACAAACAAATAAATAAATAAAATAAACTTAAACTCAAATACTAGCCAGATCAGCCAAAGTTTCACCATAAACCAAAATTCGTAAGAATCTGACATGGCAAAATATATTAGTGGAGTAGATATTTCGATGTGCAGAACATTAGTCGTTGCTGCAGATTAATACTGCCTGGGGGGAGCCTCGCCAATAAACATTTCTCTCATAAGCCAGGAGTGACTAATATTGGCAGCAGTGATTTTACAACGGAAGCATATGCCAAAATCACGCACAGATTTTATAACAGAGGCTATGTCCCCAGAGATTTTCATTCAATATGGGTGTGGTGGGGGGGAGGGGGAGAATAGCTGGGCAGACATTTATATGTTTTAAAATTCAGAAAGGTGGTAATGACAAGCATCTCTAAACATGCATCACTGACATACAGGAGCAGAGGGTAAGAATCACCTTGCCCTCCTCCTCCTCCCCGTCAAGGCCCTAACAGGTGCTGGCTTCTCACTATGTACCTGTTCTAAGTGCCACTCATATGCTTTTTGCACTTGACCTTCCTAATCGCCATATGATGCAGGTGACATCATTGATGTCTATTTTATACATGAGGCAACAGAAACACAGAGAGGGTAAGCCACTGGCCCATGCCCGCATAGCTAGTTCTGGGGTTTGAACCCTATAGTCTTTAAAACCGCTTGCACAGAGAAATTTGCTGATAAAAAGTACTAACCCATCCAAAAGAGATCAGTTTTATGTTTCATATTTAACAAATGCAGGGGAAAAAATGTCAAAAGCGGGCATCATTCTGTTCTCCTAGGACAAAACAGCAATGGCCAGCCAGAAATTATCTAAAAATGTCTTGTAGTACCTCTAGAACTCCAAATTATTCTGTCTGAGACCAAGAACAGCCCCAGCAACTTTAATATCATAAACTCCCGAGCCCACGAAAAAAGCGTTAGACCAGCAGAAGAAACTTATTTCCCCTCTTTTCCCCCCCTCAGACTGCCCTTTCCTGAATATAATGACTCAATTTTTCAGTCATGCAAAATATAGTAATGGAACATAACTGCAACATTATGAATGTTAACTCAGTATTATCAATATGGCTTGTGTGATATGACTGAGCATTTTTATACTGGCATTGCTTCATTTTATTAACCACCCTGCTATCATAAACACGCTGGCTGGTGAATATTTGCATTTTAAGTGATTTTCTATCAGTAAAAAAAATTTCATTCCTTAAAAAAAAAAATTATAGGTTGTAATCTCTGTATACAGAGTCGGCAGAAGAACTTGCCAAGAGCACAGTCTCTGCTTTGTATGCAACTAAACCAACATAAATAAAATGCATTTTTCAAAAATATTGTGCACGTGCAAAATTTGTACTTAAAATGCAATCCATCAATGTAACCTGTCACCAAGCTACTGTTTGGAAACAGACAAGGAGAAGTTTGAGCTTTAAACAAATAATGAACTCACAACCATCTGACATGTCTATTTTAATAGACTATTCAGGGATATAAAAAGACGTTAAATACCTTTAACTACCAATTCTGCGTAGTTTGATATTCCAACACCTCCTTCGGTGCGAATCATGCAGCGATACTTTCCAGCGTCCCGTTTTGTTGTATTCACGACATTAAATGAAGCTATGAATCGCCGGGAACTAGTCACCTTTATTTCCTTGAGAGGAGCATCTCGTACATCGATGCCCTGTATAATTGGGGGAGGGGGGACAAAAAGAAACAATATCAGCTGTCATATGGAAACACGAAGACACCTGATAGCATATTATCCATGTTATTTCCATGTGGATCTTGGTTTAGTTGTTTATTACCCATGGGCCCTAGTTCCAGGAAAACAGCTGGCCAGGAAACTGAAATTCTGCCATGGTCAACACTTTTGAGATTGAGGGATGCAAAATGAAGTGTGCAGAGATGTCTTACATTTGCCCCTTCAAGATATTAATTATGTTGAATGAAGTCACCAGGAGGAGAAAAAAAAATGCATATGGAAAAATTCTTTGTTTCACTCCCAAACGATCACCACTTGGACTTTGCATAACACTTTATCCTATGTTTTTATGCTTGGCTAGAAAATGAAATTAATTCACACACCACCCTATTGCTGACCTCATTTTATACACGAACAAATAAACAATTTATTAAGAAGGACATTAAAAACATAAGTAGGTATTAGCATATTGCTTACCGAACAGGTCTGATGGACTATTCTAAGCTTTATTATGTTCTTCAAGGACATACAAAAACCAAATACATGCTTAATATTACCTGAGTGCTACAAGACAAGCTTCTCCCTTTATCCCATAGTCTCAAAACCACATAAAGCATGTTCCCTTAGTGTACCAACCTTGTCTTACACCATCCCCAGCACATTAAGCACATCTTTAGTTACGCACCTTTGGAAATCCATTCTATGCTTCCTATAGTTTAAAGCTTCAAAAGAAGGCTACAGTATTTCAGTTCTTTTTTTTTTTAAATGTTTTTATTTATTTTTGAAAGAGACTGAGAGCATTAGCTAGGGAGGTGCAGAGAAAGAGACAGAAGATCCGAAGCAGGTTCTAACAGCTGATAGCCCAACGTGGGGCCTGAACTCATGAACCATGAGATCATGAACTGAACTGAAGTCGGAGGTGTAACTGACTGAGCCACCCAGGCACGCAAGCATTTCAGTTCTATAACAGTGAGTTACAATTATCAGGAAAGAGGCTATCTCGAATATGTTATTTGCAAAGATTGAGTAAAAAACAGTGGGCACAGACGTCACAGCTAAAGCATGATGCCAAGCACTCTGTCCATCTGTTTACCCAGAACTCATTTTGGGTGCCAACCAGGTGCTATCAACTGTGTGAAGACACTAGGCTCACAGTGGTGAGTGACAGAAGAGTGGCTGGTGATGCCCACAGCAGTTTAGTTAGAGGGAAGTAGAAGAGACTGGAAATGAATACAGAATCACGAATGATGGCCAGTGGTGGGTAAGGGACAGATCAGATGACTGGCAGAAATCACCATCTTTAGATATGGTGGTTGTGGGAGGCCAGTCTGAAGAAGTGAGCTGAGATGTGAAGGGAAAGGAGGAGCTAACCAGGCAAAGGGGGATGGTGGGAGAGAGAAAGCATTCTGGTCAGAGGAAACTATGCAGGAAGCCCGAGATGGTTAGAAAGAAATGAAAGCTTTGGAAGAGGTTAAGGCAGCCAGTGGAACAGGGGAGGGAAGGAAACCCCCGTGCATTCAGGGACTTGCAGGCTATATTAAAGTGTTTTTATGTAGGAGTATGAAAATGCTAGGCTACACATAATAAAACTCATCTATATTACTCTGTGATTTATATTATGCAAAGTCTTTCAAAGGCTTTTAGCTATGATTTTTTTTCTTTGGCAGTATGCCCTAATGGATATGAATTTGGAAGTTAGACTGACCAGGGTGCCCTGGCTACCTTTAAAGTGATTTACCTTCTCAGAGCTTCCCTTCCCTCATCTGCAACAAGATGATACAACTCACTTGCAGGGCAGTTGTGAGAATCCAAAGATATATACAAGGACACTGGCTTCATGACTGGCATCACACATCCCCACCCAAATTCTGGACTAATTGAGTGATGAGTTCAAGGAGGAAGGTGGACAGGCTGTCAAAATACCACTTTTATTACTAATGAACCTGGTATTGCAGAATATGGCTGATGTGCAGTTAACAATGGGCTTGCTAATAGTGAAGCACAGAATTAAACAGACTCACTCACCCAGCCACAGGCCACCTTAGAAAACCACAAGGCCTCCCGTATGTTGGGTGCTGCTGTAAAACTCACAGGATGGAAGAACAGGGCTCCTACAGGGGGTTAGCTCCCAAAGAAGGGGCTGGGCTCTGCATGCTCACAGCTTCCTTCCCAGGCAGCTCTTGCTTGGGCAGGGAAAAGGCATCAGAGTGCTGCACTGGTACAGTTCCTGCCATTGGGAAGGAAACATCAGGAGTGGGGAAGAAGAGTTCCACCAACCTCACCTTTCGTATTACCTGTCAAAACAGCTTTGTTAATAGCTTAAAAAGTTATAAATCAGAATATGAAGTTCCATATATATGTTACATGTCTTATGCATGTCCTGGTTTTTACTAATCCCCTGAATTTGGTCTGATGGAGGGCACCAAGAAGTTAGGAAAACAAAACACAATAAAATCGATCTAGCATTATCAATTAATACAATGGGGGAAGGCATTCCTCTCTGTATTCTATACAGCCTCCCATCCTTCCTCACAAAGAAATAATCACATTCTACCACTAGGATTACCCTTAGATCTACTAACTCTATAAAATTCAGTTTGTCTTTTTCCAAACCAAAACCCAAACCAAACAAAATCTAATCTCCAGTTTTGAAAAAAAAAATTAAGCCCTAAAGAAAGGCAGAGTTCCTATCTGTATTTATTAATAACAGCAACAAAAAGGGCTATCTACTTATTTATTTCCTCGCTTGTGGCATGAATCTTGTCAGAATATACTTCGACGGTAATCCTGGAGTACTTTTCCTACTAGAATAAGCCTCTTTCAAAAGAAGGTTCATTCAAAAGAATTTTAAAGTATATACTTATTGATCACTCACAGCTATTCAAGGCTATACTGAGAGCGCTCAAGTTTAGGAAAACCTCCTTTTTGGATTTATACATATGTCGAGAAGAGTTTTACTTCCTAGTTGTCTTCACGCCACAGATTTATTCTTTAATATAAACAGCTTCAAACGAACAACCTTACAACTCTAATACATGAATTCTCAGGACGGCGGCTTTCTTTTGGAATCCCACATCCTGAAATGATACTGAAACAGATTTAGTTTCTTCAAGAGAAATAGTACATAGCAAGGAGAAACCAAGTGCTAACTACTAATCATTTTAGCTTAGGATCCGTATCAAATCATCTCTCTTGCTCAAATCTGCAGGTCATTTTGTATTAAATACTTCAAATGTATACGGATCCAAGCACCCATTCAACCAACACTTAGTAAAACTCTTTTATGAGGCAGGCACTGTATCGTATAGGGGGAGCATGGAGTTAAAAGAAGAGTCCTTTACCTAACTGAATTTACAGTCTGGCTAGAAAAACAGACAAGCAAGGCAATGATTCTAGTAAAGAGCAATGAACAGCAAAACACAGCAAACTCAGAAAAAGGGAACCACACTGGTGAAGGCTGTGAAGGTTGGGTCAGCATTCTAGAAAGCACTACCAGAGGCCAGGCTAGAGTATGCACAGGAGTTTCTCAGGAAGGAAAGGAGGAGAAATGGAGCCCAGTGAGTGAGAAGAGCTTTGCAAAAGTCAACAGCCAAGAGAGCAGGGCACAACAGAGGAAGTACAACTGATCCCATGCAGCTAGAAAAAATGCAGCTGGAATGACAGGTGATGAAGCCAGAAAGATGAGCACAACACAGGCCATACCAAAGAATTGAGGATTATAGTTCATCCTGATGCCAGAAATGGAAAGATTTTAGGTAAAGGGGTGACATGAACACATCTATGGGTACAGTAACAGACTGAAGGAAAGAATGTGGGACCCCAACTGATGTCAAGGGAAATTGGTAATTTTGTTTAGAAATCACAGTAACAAATGACAAAAAGAGGGATGAGAGAGAGGAAGGAAGGATTCTAAAGACATTTAGGAAATCAAATCAACAAACAGTGTGTTATTATACTTTAGTAACATCTTCCTCTTCTAGCAGAATATAATGTCCTCAAGGTCAAGAATCAGATCTCATTCATTTCGTGTACATGAGTGCACGAGAAATACAACTCAATAAATATTTGCTGACTCTAAAAATCATAACCCCAGTGGAAAAAAATGTTCCATAGGCAGAATAGAAATATGAGGTTGCTAAACTAACAGATTTATATCCCAGATCCTAAAACTGGACAACTAGTCTTTATTTACAAGGGAGACCAATACGGAAAATAAAGATATTTTAGAGATTCTGTGTGTCCCTCAGTCAGCAACACTGACCATTCATCATGACTGTGGTAGAGTAATTGTCCCCAAAGAGGTCTACTGCCTAGTTCTCAGAATGTGTGAATATGCTCTCTACATATCACAAAAGGAAGTTTGCAGATGTAATTAAAATAAGAATCTGGAGATGGGACTATTATACTAAATTATCCAGATGGGCCCAATGGAACTACAAGGCAGGAAGAAGGTAGGGCCGAATGCAGAAGAAGGAAATGTGACCACAGAAACAAAGGCTGGAGTGATGGGCTTTGAAGATGGAGGAAGGGATCATGAGCCAAAACCTGAAGCTACACAAGAAAGGGAACAGATTCTCCACCCTCCAGGAGAAACCAGTCTTGCCATCACTTTATATTAGGACTTTTGACCTCCAGAACCATAAGATAAATACAGCCATTACATCTGTGGTAATTTGTTAGAGAAGCAATAGGGCATGAATACAGTGACCATCAGGATAATGAAAAAAAAAACAAAAAAACCTGTGGCTTTTCAAAGATGTACAATAGTCATGCATCCTGATTTGTCAGAGCTATAAACAAATCCTTCAGATAGGTTTAGGTCTTAGGGGCTAGCAAAAGCTCCATTCACAAGTCATTACCGTAGACAAAACAAAATAAGTTAAAAGACTCACACTTCTCAACTTCAAAACTTAGGACAAAGCTACAATAATCAAAAGCATAGTGTGGCGCTGGCATAAGGACAGACACAGACCAATGAA